CCACCACCATCATTATCACATTTCAAAGCCCTTCGCTCCTTTCCTGGCTCCCAATAATAAGAATTTTATGTTTGAGGCTGGAGGAGGAATAGGACCTGCTATAGGAGAACAAAACAAGCTCTCAGCTGGGACATCCACAGGAGGTGGGAGGACAAAAAAAAATTAAAAATTATAACTATGACCATGCAATCAAAATTCTGCCCATTTTAATGTCCATTGTAGATGTCCCTGCTCTCAGTTCTCCATTGATTATGCACTATCAAGTTGATGTTGATCCTTGGTGAGCATCTTGATCAATTTTCCAGCTCTCCATGGTCAACTAGCTTTTACCACATTAGATAACAAAATGTCTTCAAGCAAACAACCAAGCTCAGAGAACACCAAGGTCTCTACACTTAGCTAGTTTTATCCCCTTTTCTGTGAGTCCTTCGGGCTGCTCCTTAAAATCTCCATGTTTTATGTTGTCTCTTCTATGTCAAGATCAAGAAGCCCCCTGGGGCAAAGAATGTTGCCTCTTCTCCATGTTAAGTGTTGAGTGCACTGTTATAATATCAACAAATATATCAGTAGTGTACACAGAATGCTTGGCTGAAATGTGGATGATGGCTACTTTGTGGCTCAGTATATTGTGCAAACCTTATATAGTTAGTATCTGGTTTTTTTGCATCATGTGAATTCCGTTGATATAGTGTAGTGGGTGGATCAGGTCCTTAAATGTCCATTCAGACATATTGGAGACTTCCGTTTTAATAAATATAATCCCAGGCAGTGAAGCTTTATTGTTATATAAATGCATAATTTGTATGCACAGTACTATGCCTATTTGTTCTAAAGTAAAACTCCAGAATGACTTTATTTTAGAATAGGTGAGTTACTTTGACACAGATGTAAGATGGGTGTGGTAAACCGAAACAAAATCAATCTACATTATTGTAGCTCGTTATCTCCTGCGAATTGTGGTTTATGGCCATTTTTGATGGTCAGCATATCTTGTGAAAGCAGCTGCCTGTGGCTTAATCAAACCAGGATGGCTTAGATTAAGGTTTTCTGAACTCAGCTACTGGATCGCGCTGACAGACGCAGAGTCCAGCAATGAAGCCCATCGGCTCATCCTTGGAAGGAGTTTTCTCAATGACTGCAATAAACGCGGTTATTTGACACCTGCCCCCAAGGCCTCTTAAGAATCGGGGATGTCCGGGGGACGGGAGCAAAGGCGTTGTCAGGTGTGCCGCCGCGCCCGATCGAGAGGTGAGGCGGCGCAAGGACCGACCACAGCTGTCCCCGAGAGTCGCCCATTTTTGACAGCGGAGCCTCGAAAAAGCAAGAGCGGCGACCAGCCCGATGGCAGAAAAAGTGGGGCGAAAACCGGCAGAAGGGAAGGAGCGCTTCAAAAAAACTGGCGCCGATCCAAGGTGCTTTCCCGTAAACCACATGCTTCGGCGCAGCTCTTTATAAAGCACCGACCTCCAGGCAGCCAGCAGTCGGGAGGCAGCCTTTCTTGGGGATTGTTGTTTGGAAGTGGAAGTCCCAGCCCCCTCTTGCCGGCAGCCGACCAACGGGAGCCGGGACTGTTTGCAAGAAAAAAAGGCGCGCCCTCTGGCCCTCGCGAAGCCTCAGTCAAGCCCCGCGGAGCCTTTTGCAGTGCAGTCCCCGGAATAGTAAGCGCGCTTGGCGAAGGTAGGAGTCCTTCGGAGGGGCGGCGGCGGCAGTGGGGATTGAGAGGGGGCGGCGGCGTTTGTTGTAAAGAAGACCCAGGCTTGGCGGCCAGATGCTGGTCTCCTCCGGGCTGGCAGAGTGTCGGCATAGTAGTGGCTTTTCAAGCAGTTGCGCAAAAAAGCACCCCAATTCCTTTCGCAGCCGTCCCAGGCGCTCGCGCTTCGGCCCAGTTGCTCTGACAGTTCTGGCTTGTTCTGTCTTGGGCGGCTGCGGGGAACCTTCAAACCTCTGCGGAGCATTCCGTTTAGGAGTTATTGCCGAGTAAGAACGAGGAAAAACAAAACAAAAACCAAACAAACCGAACCGCTGTTTGCCAAACGGAGGCTTTCTACTAAATGGTGAAGATAAAACGGCGCTGACCGTGGCTTAGCACTGTTGAGACCGGCAGTGCAGGATGGTCTTGTTGCCCTCTGGCTTCTTCCTCCTCTGGGGCATTTACTGACCTCTGCTTGTAGCTGGCTCCAGGCTTCTCTCCCTCCCTCACCGCTTTTTTTTTTTTCTCCAGTTCACCCTCATCTTTCACGCCCTCGCCTGTCAAGTTGCACAAAGCTGGTCAGAAAAATCTAAAGAAAAAAATTGAAGCCCTTCTTGAACTGCTCCTCTGGCTCCAGCTGGCCAATGTTTGCCTGGAATGAAGGCCCAAAGGGCATTTTTCCAATAAACATGCATTGTGGTCCTGAATAAGTTGCTGTTTCCTTTTGAAATCAGCTGCGGGGTAATGCACTCACATTGCTTTATTAGTGCTACCAGCATGTAGCCAATTCAAACTACAGCTTAAAATATTAGTTGCAGAATGGAGTTCTTTGCATACATAGCCTCAGATTAAGGGACTGGTCAAATGTTGGGGTAAAGTTTTCTCCTGGTATGAAAGTTTTAGAGTACCATAGGACAGAGGTCTCCAACCTTGGCAACTTTAAGACTTGTGGACTTCAACTCCCAGAATTCTCCAGCCAGCAGAGCTGGCTGGAGAATTCTGGGAGTTGAAGTCCACAAGTCTTAAAGTTGCCAAGGTTGGAGACCTCTGCCATAGGACATTTCTGTTGTACCAACTAGTACAACAGAAACCAACTAGTGTTTAAAGCCTTGAAATTTTTCTTGCTGTACAGCCTTTTGATTTGTCACAGCTTAATTGGAACTTGTTTTTGACTAGGTTTTTGCTCTTGAGTCACAAAATAAAAGGGAGCATGCTGAAAAATAAACTATGGTTAACAATACACAGTAGTCAAGCCCCTATTAAAAGTCATGATGAATGGGTACCATCAAAGTAAGTCAACGGGTATGGAAGGTTGGAAGTTAATAAGTAAACCAGCAATATACGGTTCATAGTTTTCTGCATCCTTAGGTGTGTTGAGTAAGAGTTTACCTACACCTCTGCCTCTAGTATAGGAAGTAAAATGTGTAGGCCTGACTTGCCTAGTATACTTCAGTTGTGCGAATGCAACTGTTCTGGTTTATGGCTTAACCAGAATTGGCTGCGCTCACATGTTCTGCCATAATTAAGCAAAATACGTTTTAGTGATGTACTTTTAAAGTCTCCTGGTTAAATGGTGCTCCTAGGCCTTCCCAATTTGAAAGTGATTTGCCATTGCTTTCTCCCTAGGGCTGAAAGAGAGTGACTGGCCCAAAGTCATCCCAACATTTTTGTCTCAATGCAGAATTGCATTGGTTCCAAGCTTGGTGCCATTAAACACTATACTCACCCAGCTCTTGTTTGCAAGGCAGTTAAGAGAACTCTTTCAAGCCTTTTTTTTTTTTTTAGTTTAACATGAAGATCCAATAAATCTATTTCACTTTCAAGTTGAACATACAGTATTAGAGGCCTCCCAGTGCTTTCTAAGTGGGCATATTAATCACAAAGCATGACTCAAAGTCTTTTCCAAATCTTTCCTCTGGTTTTTTCCCCCCCTCTCTTATCCTCCTTCCCTTTAAACTCTTTTGCTAAGCTCAGTGAACGAATGATTGGAAGCCTTTTGGAAGATTCCCCAAGGTTGTAGTAGGACAATCCCTTTGGAATGCTATGGCATAACCCCTATGGTTGTTCTGGAGGAATAGGGTTTTTCTTGTGGACAGCAAGGTGCCAAGGATAAAGGGAAGGAGAAATGGCATCAGCCCAATGGAGAAAGAGAGCTGTGAGTAGGATCGGAAAGTGAAGTTATGAAAACCAACAAGAGAGAACAGCTGGAAGGTGTAATTGAGCCTTCTTAATCTTGTCTAACATTGGGGTGACAGGAGTTGTGCTCCAGTGTATTTGGAAGGACCAAACTGAATAAGTGGCTGAAATTGCAGAAAAGCATGATATATTTTTTTTATAGTTATTACCCAACTTGAAAGTTGATATGAAACATTACAGAAAGGCACTGCCAGGTTTATTGCTAGGCAAACAAACACTTTTAGTGACCCAAGAATAGGGTTACTACAGGGCCCTAAAAATTCCTATGACCATCAGATGGCACTGATGAAAAAAAAGCATGTGAAACCTCTTCAAATCTTTGCTGCCCTCTAGTAGCTGCCCATATGTTTGCAGTCTGAATATAGAAGCTTAAATAACTGGTTTTGATCTGTGAAGAATAGAGTAACTTTTGTTCTGGAGCATTTTCCTCTGTTATTCCTAGTATCTATAGATGGACGATAGATTGGAAATCCTCTGCAGAATAGTCAAACAATTTTTATATCCTCAGTTGCAAATATAAAAGTATTTGAGAACATTTTTTAAAAAAAAGACTGAGATATCCTGCAGAGGATTCCCCATCATTTAGTGCAGGAGTGTCCAACCTTGGCAACTTTAAGACTTGTGGACTTCAATTTCAGCTTTGCTGGCTGAGGAATTCTGGGAGTTGAAGTCCACAAGTCTTAAAGTTGCCAAGGTTGGACACCCCTGATTTAGTGCAAGTGAACTTTCTGGAAACGATGGTGGCTATCTCGGATCGTTGCTTCCATTGCCTTAAATCGCAAGGGAGACATGAGTGGGAGCCTAGAGGTTAGTCTCAACATCTAGACTGGCTCCTGTGGGAAAAAAGCTGTGGTTTGCAGATCCAGCTTTTTCAAGGAAGTTCCTGGAGCTGCCTTGTCTGTTGGTGGTTGCTGCAACTTGGTGGTCTTCTAACTTTTAATTCTTAGCCTTCTTTTTTCCACGCTGCTGTTCTGTCGATTTGCCCTCTATCTGGAACTATTTTGTGTCCTGTTAAGACTTTAACTTCTAGGGCTTTTCAAAGCAGGGAATTTTGGAACACGATGCTTTGGGAAGCAACAAAAGATAAATACCCATTTTTAGCATCTGCAGTCTGTTTTGAAACAACAGCAGTTTCAGAAGATACTGAAGGGGAAATTCCAAATTGATCTGTGGGACTTCAGCAATGTCCTTGGATAATAAAAATTAGGGGAATGGAAAGATATGGAGAAGAAAGAGGAACTGGCTGACTTTGGGCCAGTCATACTCTCTCAGCCTATCCCTCCTCACAGGGTTGTTGTTGTGGGGAAAAATAGGAAGAAGTAGGCGTGAGTTATATGTAAAAAGAATAAAGGCAGAATACAAATAAATACTTTGAATATTTGTGACTTAAAGGATGAATTCTGTCTTTTGGCTTGCTTGTAATATTTGAATAATTTATTGTTAAGGATTTGTTTAGTTCTTAGTGTTTTACATATTGATTGTAATTATTTTTTTAATGATTTTTGTTTGTTGCTTACAGTCATTGTTATTCATTATACCGTATTTTATATTATTCATTATATTTTTAATCCCACTTTTTATATGTAATTCAAGGCAACGAACTTACCTAATATTCCTGCCTCTTACTTTCCCCACAGCAACTTTCAGGTGGGTTGAATTGTGTGAGAGAGAATGATTAGCCAAAAGTTGCCCATCCAGCTTTCAGGCCTGAAGAAGGCCTAGAACTCACAAATCTCCTGGTTTCTGTGCATATGCTTTCACCACTGCATATATACAGTATATTTTCTAAATAAATAAATGTGGCATGGAGCAGGACTGCAATAGGCATATAAAAACTGAACTTAGGGAAATAGAGCTGAGAGCTGCAATACTTCATTATGTTGGAGCAAATATTTTCATCTGCACAAGGAAGGGAAAAACCAGCTTTGTCACAGAACAGCAGGGAATGTGCAATCCATCTGAGCTGTAACAATGGGGGAAATTCCCAGCTTGGCTACTTGTCTGACCTCTTCTTTTCCTAATAAGAACACAAGAATGGAGGTGGAGGGAGGAAAATATGCTTGCAAACCAGAGTTAACTCTTCAGAGCTTCCTGAAAAAGATCCTGGATTATTCTATCAAGTGCACTTTAAAGCACTCTTGGGAAATCCATGCCTTAGCAGTAGTGCTGCCGTGCTTTGCTGAATAAATGTGGCGGGCCTCAGAAATAGATGCAGTCCAGAGATTTTTGCAGTCATGGATGCCAGCAGGATGGAAGAGAGTTATTGTTGGAGCCATGCCTAATATGTGGTAATTTGATATGGTCCGTTCCAAGCACAAGTTGGCCTAAAGCAAAGGCCCTAGTGGGAAAGTACAAATAGTAAAAGGAAATATTACTGCAATATTTTAGCACTGACTTTAAAAAAAAAAAGCTACACTTTTTTTTTAACCAAACTCTATGCAATAATGGATGGTTATTCTGAGACAGTACCACAGTCTTTGCTAGTAAGATGTTATAGCAAAGGGCAGTGGGAGAAGAGAGAATGATTTCCCAGCACTTGTGGTTTGGAAGGAAGGTGTGCCGCAAACCACAAAAGGAGAGAAACAAAGTGAGGAATCCTCTAGATAAGCTGAGGAAATTCTATGGCTACTTGTTTTAAAAAGGGGGGAAAGGGAAGACACAGTACCACATTAGCCAGGCATGGATGAGTTTAGGACATCCTTTTGAAGTATAATGTTGATTTACATTAGAAAGGGAAAACGATGACAGTCCTATCTATAGGAGCAGAAAACGCAAGGCTCTAATAGAAGACTTCTTTTTCATCCACAGCTCAGGAAAACATGCTTGCCTATATGCAATTTGCCTTGTTCCTTCTTGTAACCTGTGGTATCCATGAAACTGAACAGAATCGTAATGGTTGCCACCGGCTCATCATGGCATCTCACCTTAAGAACCTGACTGATCTGGTGAGTCTATAAATTATATAGTAAAAATGTGATATTAAAAGAATAATGACGTTAAGAAGTAACATTATATGGACTGGGTACCTGTGCTGATGGTAGTTTGGTAGTAGATTTCCAGCTTAACGGTCAGGCTGGGTCTGTATTAAATAAAGTTATACCATAGTAGTACCTAATTTCCAATTTTTTTTATGTTGTTCCCACCCAGTCCCTTTAGTATTAGGTTCAGGAAAAAGGTGATTCTTTTGTATAGTAGGTAGTACCGGGTAGCAAGAAAGCAGAATGGACTTTGAAATTATCTTGGCACTTTTCTGCAAATGCTTGGCCATTCTCAACACCACAAACCCTGTAAAGTAGTTTTGCATTATACCCCTAGTGCCAATGTAGATTCTGATTGAGAGCAACTTGCTAGAGATTCCTATAGAGATTGGCTGGGGTCTTCCTAACCTGTAGCTCAGTTTCTTTTATTACTGTAGCAAGAGCACTGGAAGAATGAATATGCAAACCAGTAGGAAATAAAGCAGGGTTTGTGCATAAATAAAAGTTACTTAGAATTCTGTCCAAAGATTGGATTGGTTATATTATATACGTATAACCTTTGATTTGTTTAAGATCTCTGTTGATGAAAAACTATGAAAAAGAAAGGTAAAGTTTCCAAGATGTACATGACCCCCAGTATTTTTGTGCTCACTCATCCTAATAACCAACCCAAGATCAGCTGGGCACTGCTGCCTACAGGGGGACACTAAAATCAAATTATTGGGCAGCTTATTTTACTTTCATTTAGTTTTTTTTTTTGGGGGGGGGGTTATGTCATTTTATCAGTATTACCTATTACCTCTTCTATGCTGCAAGAAAATGAAATTGCCAAATATATATTGTTATAATAAGAGCTGTATGAAGTTCCTATATCCCTGTCCTCTGAGAGCAAACATCCTGCTGCCTAAAGCCACTTGGGAATGGTCTGATCAATTGGCTATGTGCAGGACTGAAGTTTTATCCAACTTGCTATCTTTTCATTGACATGCCATAATCATTTATTTTATGAAATGAAATTTATATGGCCTCCCAAGCCACATACACTGACTTCTGGTGGCTTATTACAGCATTAAAAATCCAGGACATAAAACGCAGCCACCGGACAAGCTGAGCACAGCTTGGAATGCACTGAGATTAGGACAAAACCTTCTCGAACATTTTGCTGCTATTTCTTCACCTGATCATTACTGTGGGTCATTCCTTCATCTAAATACTTTCTTTCTGCTTTTTAGTTGGAGGAATAGCTGATACACTTTTAATTAACGCAGGCTGGATTTTCTAAAGCTAACATAATTGACAAGTTAACAAGTTAACAAGTTAACAGTCAGGGTGATCTAGAGCTGCAAAATGTTAGAAGCAAAGTCTCCAGGAATCTTGATTTTGCCTAAACCATTAATAAACATTAGGAAATCTCTGCTGCCAGAATTGTTCTCATAACTGTTTAAAAAAACTCGATACTTTTCTTGCCTACAAAATTCCCAGAGGCTTTAGAGAATTCTGATTCAGATAGGAAAGATTCACAAGAATTATTATTTAGTTAATAAAAATATGAAGACGAAACTGACTACAGCCAGGATGTGAGGCTGTACATAGCATTGTTCTAGGGACACTTCTGAATGCATTTCTCTTGTCTTTCTATCTTGCCCATTTTATATGCATTTCTGGGGTGAACATGCATTGATATATTTTTATCCTTTATGAGGATGATAAATGTTTCAGTGGGTCATGTGAATTTATTAAAGTCTTTTTGCCATCCTGAATATTCTCCACCATTGCTTGACCAGTACTGAAAATCTAACTCAGACTTTCCTAGTCTTCCCACAATTCCAGGCAATTATGTCCATGTTAGGTGGATAATTGTACGAGTCAATACACTTGGACACCATCCAAGTTATGGAGGCTAGTTGTTGCCTAAAGCAAGCTAGTTTTTCACACAAAGTCTGCTCTCTGTCACATTAATGAGATGACTCTTCTGTCTTAATATCTTTGCACCGTATACTACTAGATTCTGCAAAAACTAACAAAGCATCAAGATGAATAATACTTCAATGTTTTGATTATCCATATTTATGATAAACAGTCCCTATAAACAACATCTTCTAAGAATAAATTATTTTAATGTTTTGACTTTGGGATAAACCTCCCTAAAAAAGGAATGTTGAGTTGCTAGTGTTCCTCTTCCAGAGTTCAGTTCTCTCCCTAGGGAAGCAAATTCCTGTCTGTCTGAAAACATATTGATTGTAATATTTATACTAAACAGTGCTGAAACACCTGCTATCTCTCACATGTATTAGTTGCCAAAGAATAGTCGAGGAAAATGATGTATTTGTGGTTCATTCTTTGTCCCCTTTCAGGATTTTAAAGCCATTGGGGTGTGCTGCTATCACATCCAATCTTTTAATAATGTGTAGGTCCAATGTGCAGGTTCATTAGGCAAGCCTAGTGAAGATGACAGAGGTTCCACATTGCAATACCATTTGGGATAGTTTTGTTTCTGTCATTCCTGAGGAAATAAGAGTCCTCTCCTTGTAGTCTGGATCCCTGCCCCTCCTTGTAGCCAAATCTTACAGGGAGCTGACAGAAAGGTGGGAAATGCATCCTTCAGAGAGAAAGTGTTATCGTATGTTTGAAAGGGCAGTGATGTGCCCCTTCCTCAAGAAATTTTTCTCAACTCGTACATTCTGAACAATTATCAGCCTATCTCCAAATTTCCCTTCTGGGGGAAGATTACAGTTGGGCTGAAATTGCTTTGGGCCCTGGAAAAAATAAATAGAGGATCTGACCAGTGTGGTTTAAGGCCTAGATTCAGCATGGCACAGCATTGATTGTGTCCATTGATGATCTCTCATAGAACTGGGATAGGGATAATGTAATCCTTATCCTGCTTGATTCCTCAATAGCTTTGGATATCATTGAACAGTCTTCTGATCCATTTCCAATAGTTAGGAGTAAAGGGCACAGTATTACACAACGGTTCACCTTTCCGAAGAGATGGCTTCAGTCAGTAATAATGCTGGTGAGAAATTAAATCTTAAATCTCTTAAGTGGGGAAATTCCCCAGACTTGCTACTCTCCCAGTCCTCTTCAAGATCTTCCTGAATCTGCTAGGTAATGTCATCTGGCTGCCTGGAGTCAGGTTTCACCAATATGCTGACGATGCCCAATTGCATTGCTTGACCACTGGAAAATAACTGATGTCACTGAAGCTTGTCTAGTAGTCTAAAGCTTATCCAGGTATGAATGGGAGTGGAACTGGTTGAGATCAATCCCAATAAGATGGAGTAGCTGTGGGATTAAAGACAGGCCGCTTCCAATGGGACTCCATGATTAACTTCAAGCAGGGTTACACTTCTCTGTGCAAATTTAGTTTGGGGGCCCTCTTAGATTCATAGTTTCTGCTTGAAGAGCAGATGGCAGCTATGGCTAAAAGCCTTTTGGTAAGTTACATCTAGGATGCCAATTGTAACTCTTCCTGGAATGGCTGCCATTACTCGCAGCCATCCTTGCCTCTGTCACCCTTCATTTGGAATAGTGTAATATGTAGCACTGGCCTTGAGGAGAATTTGGAAATTCCAGCTGTGAAGAGTGAGGTAGCTTGGGTAGTGGTGGATCCTTTTGAAGGAGGTCATTGTGTTATTTTTATTCCAAGAAGTTGGTGCCAGTTGCCTTCTGAGTGTAGTTCAAGACATTGGTTGTGCTTCATGGCTTGGGGCTACTTTTGGATGCACCTTTTCCCCATAATAAGGTTTCCCAAACTGAAGTATACCTCTTTTTGGGGAGATGCAGGCAATAGTTTTATAGTTTTTTTATTTTAAATCTCCTGTTTGAAAGGAATAATACATGCACTTCGTTTATTAAAAGTGCGCTTATTTTTCAGTTTCATTTCTAAGCCAAGGAGATGAGTCATTTGTAACTCATAATATTTCTCAGATATTACACTGCCACACCTTAATGAAGCTTATTATTTGAATAAAATGTACTGCTGATAAATTTTGCAATCATGACTACATTTTAGGATTAGATTGTATATCTTTACTTGGAACCAAAACTTTAATGATTCCAATTTCAAATATTATTGAAATATTGTGTACTCATTTGGCACTATTTATATCCAGTATATGGCATATTACTATCATAAAAAAAATATCCCTACCCAACTCCCAAAAAGAATACAGATTTTGGAACAGAGAGTGGGATTTCCCTGCCACTTAGAGCTAGGAAAAGGAATGGATTAACAAAATGTATATTTAAAACTCTGTGAATTCCCTAGTAAAATGCCTTTAAATCATGTGGGAAGTTGCAAGATTGACTGAACAAGCAATTTTAATTATGCTTGTCCTGTTTTAATAATGTTCGTTCAGAAACCCCATTGCATTATCTATTTCAATGGCTGTTTCAAAATTTGAATTATACTTGCAGAGTCAATTGAATTTTTAAAGCTGTTTTTTCATTCTAGTGTGATTTTCCTTCTTATATCTAACAATAGCCCTAATGATGAAATTAAATCAAAGCAACAAATACAATTGGTTTTTTAATTATCATTTGGAGTTACCAAGACCTCAGAAAGGATGGTTTAAAGCCCATAAAGCACTTCTGGCAGTCATAAAATGTTACACACACACACACTGCATTTGAGCACTTGGAAACTGGCTCACGTTTATAACTGGTTGCAGTATCCTGCAGTCACATGACTGTAATCTGTGGTGTTTTTTTTTACAGTTTTAGATTTACAGCTACGTGATAAGCTTAATGTCCACTGTAAAAATATTCATAAAATTGGATCCAGTCATGTGGGTGCGTCAACTTGCAACTGTCATGACTTGCAACCAAAATTTTGGTCCCAATTGCCATCATAAGTCAAGGGCTATCACTGCAAATTGTAAATTCATAGTCAGATATGCTCAGGGAAGAGAACAGCTGTGAAATGGATAATGCGATTCCCAGAATAGTGGAAATTGTATAATTTATTTCCTGGTGATGTTGCTTGAAGTGTCTTTCATCAGAGTATCCAGAAAGCAGAAACTCTGGTTCCAATTGCCAGAGTTTTATCTGGTTAACTGATTGGTGCTTAGTTGTTGCTGTGCTGGCTTAGAAGCCATTTTGGCAGAATTAAAAACTCCCCCAATCCTTTGGGCAAGTGGGGACAGGTTGAAGGTGATAAATCCAAAACCAAAAGTGATGCTCTTAAAACTGTTTGTCATTCTTGGGATAGTGAATCAAGCTTTTGCCTTCATTGATTTTCTGCGTGCCTTTTCCTGAGTTGCTCTGTGATATTGCCGGTGATCAGTGATGTTGCTATTGCTAGTGGAGCACTAGATTTGCTTTTTTGACAGTCTCAACTCTGATCAATCACTGTGGTTAACTCTGAACCATTCCCTGCTTTATTTATCCCAAATGCTTATGTTTCTCTTTTCTTGCAACTCCCTAAACAAATTCTAGGTTTATGCAAGTAATTCAGTTCTCTAACCTTGTTAGGCTGTCACTAGTGTTTACGTTTGCTCTAGATATATTGGCTTCCTTGGAACATTCTTGGGATTCATAAAACTAAAACAGAGTAAGATTAATGGACATTTACCCTGTATTTTTTTCATTACAGATAGATAGCCAGATGGAAACTTCCTGCCTGCGATCTTTTGAATATGTGGATGAAAGGGAACTTGTAAGTTGCAAGAGCTTGTCCTGTAGTCAATTTGTCATATTGCCAAATAGAGTTTGTATAAGAGCTTCTAGAGTGTCCAGAGTTTGGAGCAGTGGATTTCAATGTATTTTTTAAGATTTTTTTTTCCCACTATGAGGAATCATGTGTATAGTGATGACCTTTGGTTTAGCTTTGGGCTTCTGTATATCTTTTCCTCCTGGACACTACCAGGAGATTCCAAACCAGACTTTTCTGTCATGTTAAATCTTGAGAATTCCAGTTGGCTTTGAAACTGTGGATTGCTCAAAATCACTGGATCCGTGATTATTTCCTCCCCACAGTTACCAAAGAAAGGCTATCATTCTACTTAGTTAGCTTTCAAAAAATGTATGAGAAAACCCTAAGAGTCTCTGGAACCCAATTGAAAGATATTGTTTGTAAAGGCCTAAAAGTTTTAAAAGAATTAAATCTTGCCTGAATTATTAATTGGTATGCCATTAGAATTTGCTTTAGCAGTCAGTGTCTTCTGGGTAATACTGAGTCCGGTAAGAGAGGTTGTTAGCATCTAGTTTTTCATCTGGTCCATGGTCAGCTCCCCCAAGAGGAGTTAATGAGCCTTTGACACTGTTGTTGTTCATTTGATTGTCTTATCTCTTTGGATGCTTTATAATTGAAGAAGAGCAAGCAAGAAGAGGCTATTGATCATCTTTAAGACTATTTTTACCCTTGTCCCTTTTTGGAAAGGTCAAGTGGTAGCAACAAGAAAAAATAGTACTTGATCTGAACAATGCTATCTTTTCCACATCAAAACTGAATGTTTTTATTGCTGACATCTACATTTATTATCTTCTAGGATAATACTGAATGCTTTCTCAAAGCAGCCTTTAATCCCCTGAAAGGTATCATTGATAATATTAAATTCAAGAATAATAGTCCAAACTATGTGAAACTCCATCTGATAAAGAACTTATACCTGGACCTTGCAAGATGCATTAAGCCTCACGATGATAAAAATAAGGTAAATTTTACTGATCAGTTTTGCAATCCTCAGAAATAATGCTAATACATTTAATGAGACTGAGAAGCTGATTGACAGCTGACATCTAAATTTTAAAACTGAATATGCTGAGGAGAGAATTGGGAAAAAATGCTTTAGTGTGTCTTTCCTTGAATGTGCCTTCCTTTTAAGAAGTTGGGATTGAACCAGATATAACCTTAATCACATTTTTAGACTTCACAGATAGGTACATAATTTTAAGGTACCTAAAGACAATGCAGAAAGGAGGTTAGTTTGGGACCTTTGAAACAATGGATAGGTTTCAGCCAGCTGCTTCTTCCTCCAAGTGCTTGCTATCTGCAATGGGAAGGAAATGTTTACAATTCAACAGCTATAGCTATATTTTGGTTGAAATTATCTTATGCTGGCCCAGGGACAAAATATGCAAAATGTATCATCTGGACGATATCATTTAGGACCAATCAAAATGACTCAAAAAGGCACACACTCTTCTAAATTCTCCAAAACTCTTAATCAATTAAAAATGTCCCCAAATATGAGAAAAAGAAGTATTAGGAAAATCCCCCAAATAGGTTAGCAGTGTTAACCAATGGGATCTACAGAGACAGTTTGGAAACAGATTTTGTGGATTGAATGTGTAATATTATTGTATTTGATTACACTTAATCTTTAGGAATTGAAAATTCCTAAGGGACCCAGTTGAGGGAGTACTTGCTGTATCCTGCTGACCTTTTAAATCCTATTGATACGTTGGATATTCCTTGTAGGATCTTCAATATAGCGTTGAGAATAGGCCTTGCTTATAGAAGTAGAGAAACTATTTTTGTAGTTGATTGGCTGGTGATAATTTTTTATGCTGTCATAGCAGCTAATTTTTCTTTTCTTTTTCCCTCTCGTGTTTTCTATTTATTCTGAAAGAAGTGCATCAAGACCTTCTCCCGTACAGCAGAGCAAACTTTGCAACTGGTACACAAATACTTTAGCCAAGCCAAGCAGTTTCTGAGCAAGGGAACATTCACAGATGATTGCAGCGAAGTCTTCCAGAAGTGTACAGAATCCCAGGAAAATGAGATTATTTCTACAGGTAAACAATTCAAGACTTTTCAGATGTGCATTTCCTGCCAATCGTTTGGCGCAGAGTTGGGGAGCGAGGATTTTAAATCGGGTGAAGCATTTTGGGGCTTTTATATATGTGCATTTATGTTTGTTGCAGCAGGCTTCTTTGTGCATTTATATGTGCAAGTGTTGTCTATTGTCTGCTGGAATGCAAGCCTTAAAAGTCAACAGACATCTCGTTTGAATGGAAATGCGGTGGGCCTCTTTAGGTTGAAGTGAGGAGGACGATGAATCTGTTTAAGTCTGTTGTAGCTGCAGATTCCTGACTCTTGTGTGCATAAATAAGAGTTGTGATGGCGCAGTGTTTGGAATGCAGTATTGCAGTCTGACTCTGCCCACTGCCAGGAGCTCAATCCTGACCGCGCACAAGGTTGACTCAGCATTCCCATCCTTCTGGGGTCAGTAAAAATGAGGACCCAGATTGTTGGGGACAATATGCTGATTCTTTAAACCAGGG